GCTACTTTCATTGAGAGATGGAGGTTTTTTTCCCACCCCTTGACTCCAGGTAGCCTTGTGACTTGCTTTGACCAATATAATGCAGAAGTGATGTTGTGTCAGTTCCAAACTAGAGGCCTCCTAGCTTCTAGTCTCACTGCCTTGGAACTCTGAAACCAGCATGGGAACAAACCTAGACCAGCCATCTGGAGACCGGAAGACCACATGGAAAGTGGTCCCACCCCAGTCTATTTACCAGATGAATGTAAATGTCTAAGCCAGCCTACCTGAGACTAGCTGAGCCCCGCCTAAACCATAAGAATTACCCAGTTGAGTCCAGCCTGAATTACTGACCTGCATAATTTTGAGCTAAATAAATGGTTGTTTTAAACAACTAAGTGTGGGGACTGGTTGTATTATGAGCAAAAGCAAACTGATACTAGACCATATAGTATGTAGTTCTATAACTTTTCTTTACTATGTTACAAAGCATTTGACTTGTCAATGCATAAAGATCCATCTTATTCTTTTTAAGAGTTACATGAGGGGCGCCTGGGTGGCTCAGTCATTAAGCGTCTGCCTTCGGCTCAGGTCATGATCCCGGGGTCCTCAGATCGAGTCCCCGCAGCAGGCTCCCTGCTCGGCAGAAGACTGCCTCTCCCTCTCCCACTCCCCCTGCTTGTGTTCCCTCTCTCGCTGTGTCTCTCTCTGTCAAATAAATAAAATCTTAAAAAAAAAAAAAGAGTTAAATGAATTTCCATATTATGGATATTCTACAGTTTAATATTTTCTCTATGCCAGACATTTAGGTTGTGCCTACCTGCCTCTGTCCTTCTCTCCATCTCCTGTATTATAAGTGTCTCTATAGTTTCTGTATACTTCCCCTACTCTGTCTTTTCTCTGCTAATATGGGTTATCTTTTTCATAGACATTTTTAAAAATATAATAAAATGTATCAATCTTTCCCTTAGTGGCTTTCCTATTCTAAATTTTGCTCAAGAGCAATTTTCCAACCATATATATACTCTATTTCTTTCTAATACAGAATTTTATGTAAGTGCCTATGTGTATGTGTGGGTGTGTTAGATTTAACTCATCAATCCTCTGAAATTTATTTGAATTTATGGTGTGAAATAGTGAATATTTTTGTCAACTGGATAGCCAAATGTTCTAAACACCATTTAGAGTAGTTCAATCATTTGCAGCGATTTGAAATACCATCTCCACTCTGCGTTTAGATTATCTGCTTCAAGACTCTAATCTGTTCCATTGATCTATTTATTTGCTTGTTACCAGATCAGTGACAAAATGACCACTGCAATATAACAATAACTACTGCTTTATAGTACGTTTTGACACTGGCAAAGTATCTTTTCTTTTTTTCAAAAATGTCTTGAATATTCTTCAATATTTTCTCTTTCAAAGTAATCTGAGTCAGTTTTAAAAATCCATGAAAAAGTCATTTTGGAATTTTAATAAGGCTTACATTAACATTGTAGATTAATTTGCCATCAGTTGAACTTTTAACAACCTTGAATTTTGTTGTCAATGATCATGATATGCCTTTTCACTTATTTCCTATGTCCTTTGGTAAAATTTTATAGTTTTCTTTTTTAATATATTACATGCTTATTCTTTGGTTTAGTTCTCAGAATTACATGGTTTTTTAAGCTATTTACATTTTCTAACACATTTTAAAATTCATTTTTGCTCATGTTTGAGAAAATTTTCCCTGAAAATAGTTTTCTTTAAATTTGACCATTTTGGTAAACTCATTCATCCTAAGAATTTGTCACTTGATTCCTTTGGATTTTCTGGGTAGATAATCATACAATTTAAAATGATGAGAGTTCCTAACTTTTATTTTACTTTTCGTTTCATTATTTTACTTTTTTTTTTCCTGGTCCTGAATTGGCTAAAACCCTCTGTGTGTTCGTATTAGTCAGCTCAGGCTGTCATAACTGAAGAGTAGAGTCTGGGTGACTTAAACAACAAAAATTTATTTTTTCACAGTTTAGAGTCTGGAAGTCCCAGATGAAGGTGCCAGCAAGATGGTTTCTGAGGAGACCTCACTCCTCAGCTTACAGACAGTGCCTTCTCGCTGTGTCCTCTCCAGCCCTTTCTTTGTGTGCGCTCATAGAGGGAGCTCTGGGGTCTCTTTTCCTCTTCTTGGAAAGACACCAATCCTCACAGATTGGGGCCCCATCCTTATGCTTCATTTAACCTTCACTATCTCCTTAAAGGCCAAATCTCCAAACACAGTCACACTGGGGATCAGGGCTTCAACATATTCCATTTCTGGGATATCAATATAATCCCATTTCTGAATTAGCATTAAAAATAATATTTTTAGGGGTGACTGGCCGGCTCAGTGGGTGGTGAGGCATGTGACTCTTGATCTTGGGGTTGTGAGTTTGAGCTCCATGTTGGATGTAGAGATTATTTAGAAATAAAATCTTTTTAAAAAAAAGTCTTAAAAAATAATACTTCTATTTTCTATTCTGAATATCTGAGAAATAATGTGTGCAAAATGTGCAAAAGAAACAAAACCAAATTGATACAGAGTTATCACATAGGTTTATTTGAAAAATGTATGTTTGTGCGTGGAGCACCTAGTTCATGGTGGAGACAGAACAAATGTTTAAAAAATATTTATTGACTGACAGTAGAACTGCCACAAACCTTTGCTATTATGTGTGTGTTGTGTCTAAAATATCCATAAGTAATTGTGTTTAATACTGTATAGATAGGTGGTTTATGTTCAAAAAACAATCATTCATTTTTTCCTATTCATTTAGTAAAGACTTGGAGTTGGACAGTGGGTGCATTTCAACACAAAGACATCATCTATTCCTGGTGTTTGAAGACCTTAGGTTATTCTCCTTGAACTAAAGTGGTAAATACTGTAATAAATAGAAATCTCTATTTCTTGCTATCTCAAGGAAGTCAACAAAATATTATGGTGATCCAGTAATCTATAATTCCCAGTCCCTTATGAATTAGAATTTTTTTGGCAAAATATCACATTTTAAGTAATAAATAGTCTATTCTGAGCAACTCCCACCCAAAATTATTTTTAAAACTTTCATTCATTGAAAAAAAAAGACATAAGATGACTTAGGTAAAGGATTAACATGTTTTAAGCACGTTGTAAACTTTTATTTTTTTTTATAGATTTTATTTATTTATTTGACAGAGACAAAGCGAGAGAAGGGAACACAAGCAGGGGGAGTGGGAGAGGGAGAAGCAGGCTTCCCGCTTAGCAGGGAGCCCGATGCAGGGCTCAATCCCAGGACCCTGGGATCATGACCTGAGCCGAAGGCCAACACCTAACGACTGAGACACACAGGCGCCCCTAAGCACATTGTAAACTTTCAACAATTGTTAGTTACCTCCTAATCCTTAAAAGAGCAAAAATTAAAGATATGCATGATGATAAAAGGATATTTATTTGATATATGCCTTATATAGGTTACCCTTTCTGCAAGACAGAAGACTTCATTCTTTCTCCTTTCTATTCCATATCCAATCTCAAGGAGGCTCTTTAACATTTTTTTTATTATTGAAGTAGAGTTGACACACAATATTATATTAGTTTCAGGTGTACAACATAGTGATTTGACAACTTTATACCTTACACAATGTTCACCATGGTACGATCTGTCACCATATGACATTATTACAATATTATTCCCTGTATTCCTTATGCTATACTTTTCATCCTATGACTTACTTATTTTGTAACTGGAAGTTTGTGCCTCTTAATTCCCTTTACCTGTTTCTCCCATTCCTTAACCCTCCCCACTTCTGGCAACCACCAGTTTGTTTGTTCTCTCTATTTATGGTATTTATGAGTCTATCTCTTTCTGGGTTTTGTTGTCGTTGTTGTTGTTTGTTTGTTTTGTTTTATAGATTTCACATATAAGTGAAATTATATAGTCTTTGTCTTTGTCTGACTTATTTCACTTAGCATAATATCCTATTGTTAAAATGTCCATACCATGCAAAGCAATCTACAGATTGAATGAATTCCCTATCAAGGAGGGTCTTTTTACAAAAAAATGAACACATTGACTAAAAATCCCACACTTTTACAGACATGACTGGGCTCAGATACCCTTAAGTATCCAAATCCCTGCTCTGCATCCATTATGGCTTGGTGACCTTGGCAAGTTCCTTATTCTCTCTCATCCTCAATTTTCCCATTCATAAAATTAGGATAATAATTTAGGAATAATAATGATAATAAGTTAGGAATAATAATATATTCCTTATGGATTTTCTGTGAGAAGTACTTGAATTAGCTTATGTGAAATCCTAAATAGGAGCTCAGTAGATGAAATATTATTATTATTAATAAACACTCATATTTTCTTGCATACTGATTTAATTTGAAATATTTAACTTGTTCATGGAAATGAGTGTGGAGAAACCTTAAGGAGTCTAATTTCCAACCATGATTTTAAAAAAATCTACTTGAACTTCTGAGTTTCTTGTAATATTATATCTAGGACTCCAAATTTTGTTCTCAGATGCACCAAAGACTATAAAACGTCCTTTGTTAATGGTGGAAAATAAACAGCTTCTTAGGAAATAAGACTTCATCATGCAAGAATATATAGATTTATGTCCAGTTCTTTGATTAGAAAAAGAGAAAAAGCCTTTCCAGAGTCAGAAATGTTTCTCAAACCACTATAGAATAACAATTATGAGTCTCCACTTTTTATTTTTATTGCTGGATTGAAAAAGATGACTCTCTACAATGCCTACACCAGGAGGATATTATTCTACAAATAAGGGCCCAGCGTGACATTTATGAGAAAGCCAGGGTTCTTCTGCACAAAACTGATTGGTGCTCAGCCAGTGGGCTCTGGGGCATTGCAAATAACGGTACGTTCTCCACTGGGCCTGATCAGAAGCTGGGCGGAGTGTTGCCTCTGCCTGTGGAACTTCAGGAAATGCTCAACTCCTGTCCTAGCAGACTACATCTGTGGCCAGCAAAGAGAAACTGGGCTTTGAAGATGAAACACCTTGTTCCTCAATTCCCTTCCGTCTTGGCCATCTATTGCTTCTGCATGCTACAGATTCCCTCTTCAGGTAAGGGGACCCCTTCATCAGACCCCCAGCTAGCCTGAGCTCTAAGGAAGACTGAGACAGACCTTGATCCTTCAGGGTAGTTCTGGAGGGAGTCAAACTTAATCCCTTCACCTACCCCCATTTCCACCCTTTTGAAATGGCTTCCCATTTGCCTCTAACATTTAAGAGAAGGTGGACAGAATTAGATGCTGCAGCCTTTTACCAAAGGAGGCGACTTTCCCTTGTGGAACTCTCTTTAAACAATTCTGGACTCAGGGCTGTCCCAAAGATGTGCCGCTAAAACTGTGAGAGATATGAGTTGAGGACCCCAGTGTCTTAGCCATCTGTACTCCGGGAACTCTGAAGAGAAGAGAACAGAGACGGTGAAACTGAGTTTACAGACCCAAAGACCGAGGATTGAGGGACAGTTGGAAAGGGGTGGGGAGGGAGCAGAAACAGGAAGAAGGGAATATTTTCATAACCTTTCTGTGGGGTCGCAGGAGGCAGGATCCCAGACAGACCTGCGGGCCCCACCCCCCCCGAGTCTTCCTGGGCTTGGGCGCTGTCCGAGGTGCTGACTGGACGCGGGTGTCTCTTCACTAACCTCTAAGAACCCACAGGATTGCAGGGAACCAGGGGTGGGGTATAGGGTCAGTAGTATGTGTTACCCATTTCAAGGTAATTGCCAAATGATGCAGGGAAGCATGTGGTGGTAGCTCCAATTGGAAGCAGGGACTATTTCAAAATTTCAGATTTTGCCATTAGAATTTTGATCTCGGGGTGTAGAAAATCTTTGAAAATATATTCAAACAGAAAATATATTTCAAATAGTGTGTTTGTTTTGCTATGTCCTGTAGTGTAATCACAAAACCTAGGCATTGCAAGGAACCTTGAAAGTCATCTAACCTTTCATGGAGAGCAGGGATCTATGATTTCCCTATTTGATTACTTTCAGTGACACCCAACTCAATACCAGCTTAAGAGAGCCAGTAGCTGCCTCTTCTGGGCTCCAACAGCATCTGTTTGTGTTACACTTTTGGGACTTTGTTATTACTTTTTATCTGTCTATATATTTATATCCACCTCCCCCTTTTCCTCTTTGATTTTATGTTTCATGAGGGTAGGTCCCTATGGTCTTTATCATTGTACTGTTAACACAGAACCTCTTAATAAATCCTTATAGGATTGGTTCAAATTACTTTGCATTTTTGAATGGCTCCAGTCATCAAAATTTTCTTTACACTAAACTGAAATCTGATCACATGTAACTTCTAACCATAACGAGCCCTACTTCTATCCTTTGGGAATATAGAATAGGACTAATATCTCTTATGACAGTTCTCAAAATAATTGAAGGCAGTTAGCATACACTTTCTAATTTTCCTCTTTGCCAAAGAAAACTATTCTTAGTACCTCTAACTCAACTACATATTCTATCATTTCAAGTAGGATTATTACCTTTCAAGGCTTGGACACTATTATTTCTGTATAGCACAAGATTGCCTTAGCTTTTTCTTGGCTCATAGAGAGATTACAGGAAGCAAAATATCAGTATTTAAAAAAAAAAAAAATATATATATATATATATATACACATACTATTCTTGAGCCAGATATTCCCTGTCCTACATTTAAAAAATCTAAGTTCAGGGTTTTACATTCATCCCATTTAATTTCATCTATCCAATTGGTTCCTTCAATTGCTGTATTAGCTATTCTCCCAAGTATTGTATCATGCCCAAATGAGATGAAGACTTCATTTAGGCCAGCTAAAGATTGACTGACATAGGGTGCCACCACATGCTGGTAACAACCTTGCCCAGAACCCACCCCTGAAGAGTCTGATGAGGCACAGAGATGAGTATCTGAATTTCTTAAAATTTCCAAGAGTGATTTTGATGCACATACTTTTTTGACACCATTTCCTGATATCCTATCTTCATAAATTCCATCAAAATACAAATTGAGTTGTTACCCAGGTATCATTTCCCTCTTTCTTGAGTTACTAACTCTTATACTGCTAACTCCTTGTAAATAAAAAAACACTGTTTTTAACTAATTTTGGTACAAATCTCAACTTACTGTTGGTAGGTAGAAGTGTGTTTTCTTTGTAAATCCTTTTAAAAATATTGTATTTCTAGAATCTCTGTATGTTTTTCATGGTAAAGATTTAAAAGTTAATGCTATGACCTTCCCCCCCAATTATTTTTATGGTTTCTTTCACAGTAGGATTTCCTCGACCTCTAGCTGATCCCCCAGATGGCTTGGATGTCATGCAGCTTGAGGTACACTGCTGTTCAGTAATGTGAGATTTTTATTTAGTCTTGGCCTTGAAAATATCATGTGGATAATGTTCACTTGAAACTATTTTAAGATCAGATTCTTGGCTGCAGCAGGAATTCATGTTGCCATTTTCATGGCCTCATTTAAGGCATCCTGAGAGTTGTGTTGAAATTCACCGCCACTGTGTGAGAAGATAATGCAAGGTTCATAAATGGCACAATTTTATAATTTTATATGTGTGTTAATAGATTGCTATTGACTAAGGAATTTATTCTGATCTTTGATTCATTTTTCATATTTTTCTTTAGCGTCTGGCATATTGGGCAACTCTTTCTAGGCAACTTAAGGTAAAAAAAGTATATATACAATAATTCTTTTATTTTTATCTTTATTTTTTTCAAGATTTATTTATTTATTTGAGAGAGAGAGAGAGTCAGCGCACCTGTGTGTGGGGGGAGGCGCAGAGGGAGAGAATCTCAAGCAGACTCCCCATTGAGCCTGGAGCCTGACTGCAGGGCTCCATCTCACAACCCTGAGATCATGACCTGAGCTGAAATTAAGAGTCAGGCACTTAACTGACTGAACCACCCAGGCACCTCCGTATAATAATTCTTTTAGTTATAAGTGCACATGTTTATACCATAATGGATATCTGTAATAAGCTACCTACAGGAGAAGTCTATGTGAACATCTAAGTCCGTGGTTAAGAATGTAGTTTTAGGAAATAACAGGTGAACCTCTCAAATATAAAATACCATAAAATATTGGTAGTTCATGTATATTCTTAGAATTATCATAATAATGTATACATGTATAATTACATTAATTATGTATGTTATGATATATCATGACATACATTACAATTGATATACTATAATATAATAGTTCTTCAAAACAACAGATCTGGTGTAAAGGACCTAACACTGATAGTAACCACAACAGAAATGTTTCAGTGGATACAAAGTAAATGCTGATTCAATCAAGAGTGCAAGAGGGTGGTATTAGGGTGGAGTCTGTGATTCTTAAGCATAAACTGAATGTTTTCATGTTTAACATGTTTTCATCTTGAGCTATATCTTTTCTTCCACCTTCCCCTCTCCCAAGCCACAGCATACTGCGTCCTGGCTACATTGAACTTCTCATTATTCCCCAAAAGCATCAGGCCCTTATATCTTTGCACAGGTGTTTTCTTAGCCAAAAGTGCCTTTGCAGGCTGTGTTAACAGCTCAGACTCTAAAACCAAAGTACCTGGGTTCAAAAACTAGATCTCCTTAACTTGGGCAAATCTCTTAATCTCTCTGTGTCTTGGTTTCCCCATCTATAATACGGAAATGATAGTTATACTAGCCTCATAATGTTATTGTGAGGATTGAGTGCTTGAATCCTTGTGAAGTGTTTTCAACGGTGTCTAGAACACAGTAAGTGACAGCTAATTAAGTACCATCTGCTACCATTGTCCCTGATGCAACCAATGGCCATTCCTCAAGACTCAAACATTACTTTCTCTTTTTTTTAATTTTTTTTAAAGATTTTATTTATTTATTTGAGAGAGAGTAAGAGAGCACAATCAGGGGGAACAGCAGAGGGAAAGGAAGAAGCAGGCTGCCCGCTGAGCAGGGAGCCCGATGCGGCGCTCGATCCCAGGACCCTGGGACCATGACCAGAGCCAAAGGCAGATGCTTAATGGACTGAACCACCCAGGCGCCCTTACTTTCTATCTTAAACTTCACAAATATATCATGCCTATTTCTCCTTACTTTCAGTTTATCCTTATGCACATGTCTGAAGACAATTGTCCTCCCTTATTTTTAGAACTAATCTTTACAGCCTTGCTACCCAGAGCAAAAATTCAGGGCGAAAATTCAAAGTTTTCCATCTCCTTGCCACTGCCTCTTCACTTCACACAGAATGGGCTTCCCTGTACCCCACGTGAAGGCTGTGAGGGTGTCCCCTGAAGGGGCAGAAGTGGAGTGGAGCTGTCACATGGGCCACCTACAGTAGTTAATTGGGTTGTGGGTTTCCCCGAGAGCAAGGGCCCACCTGGAATGAATTTCTGTCCACTTTCTCCATTTTCCCAAAGCTGATCCTCTTCACCATTTCCAGTCATAGAAGAGCAAAGGGTTGTTCAGTGAACAAAACTATCACTATTTTAAATCTATTAACAGAGACACTGTGGCTCTTCCTGGTCTTGCCGCTGCATTAAAATAGGACCTTTGGCATGTCACCTCCTCTCCTGGGGCTCTGGTTCCCTCAACTATCCCATGTCCGGATGAGCCACCTGGGCTCTAAGTCCACTACCAGTTCTGGTCTCCAGAAAAGCCAGCTCTCTGTCTCCAGGGCACTTTTATCTTTAAGCAATTCAGAAAGCAGAGTTACATTCTACAAATAATGACACCTGCAAAAAGTCTTCCTGTTTTGTGTTCCTGGTGAGAGCAGAAATTTAGATAGGAAAGGGGGCAATAGATTCTTGTGAACACATTTCTACTATTCATCCATTCAAAAAATATATATTTATTGAGAGCATGCCATGTGTTAAGTGCTAAAGATGCAGTAGTGATCAAAACAGACAAAACTACCTGCTCTCATGAAACTTAAGTTCTAGTTGGGGAAATAAATAATAAGTTAGATAGGTAAGTGTATTTTTTTCTGTAAAAAGAAAAAATTGAAGCAAAGAAGGTGCATATGAAAGGTTGAGAGTGGTGTTTGAGCACCTGGAAAAGCATCTTCATATTCCTTGTTATGTTTTGGCTTGAAACATAATAGTATAAAGCTGATGAATACGGTACATAAAATCAATTGTTTGCCTAATGCGTGCCCAGGAAACACACATACACTCACACATACACGACAGGGCAAGTGTGTGTGTGTGTGTGTGTGTGTGTGCGCGTGTGTGTAGTATACATAAGCATGGGCTGCTTCCCATTAGAAACTCTTCACAGTTTGTAGGAAGATGTATCAACAGCAACAAATTAAAAGTGTTATTAACAACTTTCATTTCTGTCTTGATTGAAGTTTGAGCTGATTCAAAAAGGTTTCAGTGTGATTGAGATGTGAATGAGCAATATTAACCAGATCAGCAGATTTAAAATATCATTCACAGTAATTATTTCAAGCAATTTTATAAAATGCAGACATGGAAAACTTATTTATTATTTTGTAAGATGTCTTTTTCATAACAAGATCCTGAAGTGGAATATGCTGCAAATACAACCATCCCCACCTGTCATCCATGTAAACAAGGGCAAGGTGGTGCTCTAACAAGGATTTAGAAATGAAATTTGGGCTTTCTGCAAGAGTGGAGATTCATGTAGAAAGCTTTTTGCGGGGGCGGGAGGGAGAGTTTGGTCAATTTGAAACAACCCCCCAAAAAAGTGAATTCTAGAGTACACCCAGGAAAAAATTAAAAGTTGCAATCATTAATTTTATTCCAATTCTTTGATGGTTATCTGGGAATTAATTAGGGGATTGCTTTTTTGCACCAGAGAGCATGGTTTTCTCCCCAAGATTGGAAAGGTAAAATGAGATTCAGTCTTAAAATAATGATGTATTGCTGGCAACTTGCTTTTTTGTAAGACTCTTCATCAACTATAGTCTTATTAAGTTTGGATTTCTTTTTAGACTGCCAATTTATTTCATAATATTCAGATAAATTCAATAAGGTCCATGGTGTAACTTATACTGAAAATCTCATCAATTGCCTACCCCAGTAAAATTCTATGTAACTTACCCTCACAACTCTCTTTCTAGGATAATCAAGACATATACAAAAGGGTGAGTACCACCCAGTCAGCAATGCAGGCATGTAAATTTCACATTTATACCAAGTGAGCTTGTACTAAACTCGACTTTTTTTTTATTCAGTTTTTATTTCACTACTCCAGAACTCAGAAGCTGACACAGCCAGTTAAAAGTGGGGTCAGTATTTTACCATACTCATCTTTCTGTAAAAGTGACTCTCCTCTGCTTGTCTTTTACCCCGTCCTAATTAATATGTGCAGATAAGTGGAAAAGCAGGGAGCCTGCAGACACTGTGTAATAGCTTTCTAAGAGCTTTTTCCTGTGGCTTCAGGGATTCTCTGTCCCAGTCTGGGCTGGGGTGGTAGGAGGCTGACAAGTCTGAAAAGTTAGAGACTATATTCTAGAAAAGGAAAAATAAGTGAGGAGTAACTCTTTATTATGCACTTCAACAGACGTTTGAAAAAGACCTGATAAATACTGAGCTCAGTTTACATTTATCATATTACCTTTTTTTTTTAATTTTAAAAAGTGCTTCGTGAAGTGTAAAGTGCCATATCCCCAATAGTGATCCATGCAGGTGCACCTTCTATAAGCATCACTGTGTATATGTGCTATGGGAATAACATGCATCACCTCCAACTTTGTTATTAGAAACTTGAGTTACCCTCAGAAGCAGGTTGTGTAAGTGTATTTCTGCAGAGCATGATTTGAGGAATTTAGGAAGGTCATAGCATAAAATTTTTAATTCAAGGGTTCTGTTATAGTAACTGAAATTCTACCATTAGAAAGTCACTTACTTATATAATCAAGACTTTCCACGTCTTCAAGAAAAATACCTTAAAAAAAATACCCAGTGAAGTGTTTTTTCCCTAAGAGGCAAAGACTCATCTGTAGTATAGGTTTAGGAATGAGGATCAGGTGAGGTTAAGGATAGTATCAGGAAGGGCCAAGGGCACTACAAAGGGAAAAAAGACAATGGAAGGAGAAAGATGAACTCTGGGACACGAATGAACCTTTACTCTAAGCCAGAATACTCAGGGAGGATTCACAAAGACTAGGTATAAGCCACGGGTATGTATGTCTGAGTGTGTGCCCCAGCCACAGACAAGAAGTTCAGGAAAATCAAACGCATTAGGGACAGGCGACTGAAACTCCTGCTCCATGGATGGAAACTCTGTCCTTCCACCTCCTCCACTGGACTAGGAGAGGCACCTAGAGCGAAAAAGGACCATGCACTCCACCCTAAGAAGACAGAACGCCTGGGGATAAGGCAGAGAAAAGTCTGATTTACCCTAAGGGACTAGTTATAAGTGAGGTGTTGGAACTGTAACCTGCTATAAAGGCAAGCAGTTCTTTATTGAAAACCTAAGGCGTGGACATGGATTTTATTCTGGAGAGGGAGTGGGGAGGACGGCGTAGCCTGGGCTGCGTCCCGGCGGTTGTCCGAACCGCCCCCCCCAGCCCCCGCGCCCTCTGTTGCAGATTCCTCCCGTGCACCCGTTAATGCGCCTGGCCGCGCAGCTCGCAGACCGGAGGGTGAAAAGATTTCCGCAACAGCGCGTAGGTGCTTTTCTCTTGGGCCCTCTCTTTATGCCGCCCCAAGTTCCCTTAACCGTGGTAAATGCGTGTGGTCGCTGGGGGGATGGGGGGACTAGGGGGAAGGGGAGGCTCGCTTGCATGCTCTCTTTGAATCTCAGCCTCCACCTCGGGAAGGAGAGCTGGCCCTGCCTTGCGCCACAGTCCCCTTCCTTGAACCGCACAGCGTGGCTGCAGGGCCCGGGCACGCCCGGAGGGCAAAGCCGTCCCCTTCCGCTCTCTTTCCTATGTTTCCTTTTAGTTTCCGTGCTGTTTTTACACTTTCCCGACCCTTCCTCTTCCTCTTGACATGGACATTGCCTTGGTGATCCCCTGGGCTCCCCGTTGTTGCTCCGCCTGCCCTTTTGTCCCATCTCAGAACTTTGTTTCTTTAAACATAGTTTTTGTTTTGTTTTGTTTTTTGGGTTTAGAAATTACGAGCTTCAGTAATAGGTATAGTTGTTCGAAATGCTAATTGAAGTTTTATTACATGGTAGTGAAAGAAAGAAGAAAGAGAGAGAGAGAGAGAGAGAGAGAGAGAGAGAAAGAAAGAAAGAAAGAAAGAGG